AAAAGTCATTACCACGGTGCTATCGGATATAGGACCACTTTACTCTCCCGCTGTCTACGAAGTCTTCTCAGAAGTCAGTTTGTCAAGAAAACGCTACCACTAACAAACCTCTCGCAAGCTATCGTTCGCTTATACCGTCCCTGCAAAATTCAGTACTTTTCCTTCCGTACTATAAAAATCAAATTGTGATACACGTGGCGTCGTGGCGGCGGCACATTGTACATTTTAAAAGATAAACTATTGGCCTTTACAGAATCGAGTCTCTTCTGACAAAGAAAATAATCGACAAACTAAAACTTTTATCCGGTTTAGTTCCGGACCCCACGTGATATATTTAGGATTTTATTTCCCCTGTGGTGGTACACCTACCCGCAGCGTATGTGTTGCTAGATATTCAACTCTTCCGAGAAAGTGGAAACGAAAGTTTTTGTTGTATTTATAAAAAAATAAACTTTTTTACCATAATTCTAAATAATAGTAGAAACTATTCTTGTAATTGGTGTTGTTACTGAAATTGAAATCTAACTGATCTTTAAATTCAGATAAAATTTGACGATCAATTAAATGAAATTGAAATTTCGATTTTATTTTCATATATCTGATCAGCTAGATTTCAACACAGGAAACCGTAAAGATCGTCTGATCAAGATAATTATGACGAGTCTGTACGACAGATGACAGTATTTATACAAAAAATTTTTCTTTCACTCGAGTTTTGCTTTTTACTCTTCCGAAAACTAATGTCTTCATTGTCTTCAGTTCTAGTGGTCAATTCATACTTCGATAATACACCCATTTTGGAGTGGTCATATCTTGGTTTTTTAAAAGATTTGAAGCCTTACTGCATATCTGATTCAAACTTAATTGAGAACCAAAATTCAATATTGAGGAAGCGATATTTAGCTTACTTAAAGAACTTTCTGAGTGTAAAAGAGAAACAAGGCTTGCAAATCGGAGATAATAAGGAACAATATGAATTTGTAACTCTTCTTTTGCGGCAGGTCCGTCACCTTCTATAGTTTTCTGAACTGTCAAAGGCGATGTTTCGCAGCCAACAGGGGGTATTATAGGGGTGCCGTTCCTCTTTAATTCCTTCTCGCGGTGGGTGCCGTTCCTCGCGTTTCGTTCGTCTGTTGCTGGGGTGCATGTAGGGTGCATGTGGGGTGCTCATTGGGTGCTCGTGGATGCTGTTCCTTGCGCGTTCCTTGCGTGTTCCTTGCGTGTTCCTTTGTGACAACAGTTCAATCTCGTCATATTGAAAATTCCTAACCCTTTAGCTGTTTTTTAGAAAGAACCTGAAACGGGAAACTTTTGGAAAATTGTCGAAGTAGAGAGAGACCTAGGAAATGAGTTAGAAAACAAAAGGTGTGAATATCATATATTTTAGTTAATGATGTCGAATACATCCTCACTCACCTCATCTGTTATCCTTGAAGATTATTACCAAGCGTAAATCACAAATAGACGGGCTGGATTTGGTTCATGCTTCTCGTCAGCAACAAAATTTCGAACTTGTTGATGAGTTAAACCCTTTTATAAATATTTCTGGGTCCAACTACTCCAAGAACACCACCAAAAAATTTTCGGTAACGTGACTTGGCGAGTTTTATTAGTCAGATTATATATCAGATATAAAGAAACGTTTAAGTATAGCCCTTTTCACTTTATAAAAATTTTTTTTTATTAGAATAAGTGAATAAATTATTTATTATTTTAGAAATTTAACAATAAATCTTCGTGTTATTTATATAATTTAGTAATAGTAATAAAAAGATAATTTTTATAATGTACTAAATGGAAAAGTCTTGTTCTTATTCAAAACTTGATAGTTCACCTTTAGGTTGTAAATAAATTTTGTACAGTATTTAATATAAAAAACGCGTTTTTATTTTCACAACAAAATAAAATACAATAAGATTAAGAAGAATAAACTATAATAAATTACTAACAGTTGGGGTGAGAAGTAAGAACTATGAAAAATATACTTTTCATCGATATATCTGCTATTTTTAGATTAGTAGTACAAAGTCACGTTACCGAAAATTTTTGGTGTTCTTGGGTAAGCGGATAGTCACGTGATTTTAGAGAAAACTCATTTTTTCATAATATAACTTTTTAATACATGTATACCTTTAAATTAATTTAAAGTAAATGCATTTTGGCAAGTTTATTTAGAGCACAAAACGAGGTTTTGAATACCGTTTTTGAGTTATTTGACTTTTTTATTTTCGTTAAAATGAATCTAACCAATTTTGGATATGATCAGCAAATTTTATTCGTTCAAATGTGAAGTCAAAAACAATATCCAAAATTCACTTTTTTCCCTAAGTAGACTTGCAGAGCGGACTAAAATATACTTACCGCTTTAGATGGCCTCGTAATTAGTAAGAAGACATTAAATCCGCCATATACATAGTTGAGATTTTAAATTTAGCATCTATCAATCCTAATGATTTTTTAGCTCGATCTTGATCACTAGCATGAAGACTGTCGAAATTTAAAGCATTAATTATTGAATTCAAAATTTGATAACGTGTATTGATAATATTTAATATTCCAACTGTGGATCATCATTTTTAAATCCAACATTCGTATATCAGCGGATTTGGTTACTTTCTAAATCTGAAAGATTTCATAATTCCGTTGCCTTTGTAATACCAAAAATCAAATAATAGACTATCATTTAACTAAATAATAAGTTGAGTAAAAATCTAAAATTATTCAACATAAAGTAGACACAAAAAATCCATTTCACTAACAAAAAACACATTCTCACCTGCATAATAATTTTAGTGTGTATTATTAGAAAGTAAGTATGCTTTAATAAAACAAAATGTAAAATAGAAAATTTATATAGTCACAATAGCTATGAATATTTTAAAAATATTTTAAAACTCAATGAATATTGTTTAAAAAAATTTTTTTATAATAATTTTTATAAAATTGTCTATTTTTTATATTTTTCAAGTCATATAGTAACTAATTCACATTTACATATTATTATAGGAACTTTACACTCAAACTGATTGTAAAACATATATACTTTCAATTTTATAAAAAAAAAAAATTCCAGAAATTATTGTGCAAAGTGAGATCCCATGGATATTATCAATATTATTAGAATCATATTTATTATATTTTTGGCTTAAAGAAGTATTTATCAAATTATTGTATAACAAACCCGAATAAAAATTTTTTTAATGTTCGTCCCCACGTTATGTAATGCTTTGTATAACAAAAATATCAAAAAATTAATACGTTGATTATAGGGTCTGGTACGAAAATCTCGAAGCTCAAAATTCCGAAAATCCCGAACTGCGCAGCATTATGCTTAATGCTGGCCAATCTTTCGAGATTTCGTACCATTCGGGATTTTGACATTCGGGATTTTGGGATCCCCTTAACATAAGTGTTTTTCAATCTAACTATGGATCCCTAATAACATAGTAAAAGTCATTGGGACAGTTTCACCGACAGGATCGTCTCAGTCCGATCGACATACCTAGTAAAATGCAGAAAAAATGGGGAAAAAAGAAAATTTGGTTTTATTACTATCATATAATGAAGGTTAGAAACATTTTTTACTTTTTCTTAAGAAAATTTCTAAGGAACTACAAATCTCTTATATTATATATACCGTATGACATAGATTTAATAGTGAAATAAATGAAATATTGGTAAAGTTATTCAATTTTTCATTTTATACCACCGTTAAAAATAGGTAATAAATCAATTGTCTTCTCGAATTATTCAGAGACTTGTATTTATATAAACAGCATTTTATTTTAGTTGTGCCCGTAAAAAATTTTTATCCAAAAATTCTTTTATATTTTCTACAAGACGAATAATTTTGACTTTCGATTGTGAATAACTAAATATGCTTCATTTACGAAAAATACTGGAACACTAGCTATATAAGAAAATATTAAAACTAATCCGGTTTTACTCCAGTACACAAACTGTGATTTGAACCAGTTTGATGTTTCATAGCATCGAAACTGAGTCAGCTTAAGTCAGAATTATCAAAAACAAAATTATCAAACTGGATGCGAGAATATATTCTGGTGGATTTCGCACAGTTTCAATGCTTTATCATATTTGATAAGATAAACTTTTAATTTCAAAAATAATAAATGTATCAATAACTGAATTATTATATTTACATGAAAAATAGGAACATTTCTTAAAATGACACTAGTAGTGAAGTGCATTTTCACGTGATCACCCATTTTATCACAAGGCATCACACCCACCTCTAAACGCGAAATACTAGGCAAAAACTTATTTGTCACACTTTATTTGTCATCTGCACTTTCACGTGCAACTGCATAATGCCGTAATGCCGGCCCTGTAGGTGCTTTTTTTCACGGTTAGTTTGTTACTTCTGAGATCACATGTGATATTAGGATAATTAAAAATCACATGCAATTTTTTCAATTTAACATGACCATGACTAATCAAAAAAAAAATGCCACAATGGATTAATAATTTATAAAATATCTTGCTTTATTATTGACATTTATTTATTTGCGAAAAAAAGGCAATAAGGTTTCCAAAAAAAAATTCTTCATTTACTGTTACTATCACTATTTGATCGGTTCTGTCGATCATATTGGTCCGTTCTAGCTCGAGTTCTACAAGTTATTGATGTCGATACACAATTTTACTTCAAGCTAATAATATCACTTTAATCCCTGTTAATAATAAAAAAAAATTTTATAGTAGAAAGAAAAAAAAAAAATTTTTTCGTCCTACAAACTGACAAACTGATTTTTTAACGGATGCTCTATAAATAAGAGACGACTACGCGAATATAGTCAATCCTTTTATTTTCGTTTTTCACTTTAGATTTAATTTAACGCGAGCAATAATTTGTTAAAAAATATTCTTTGTATTTTCCTGAATAATCTTTAACAATTTCGTTGCGCCAAATATTATACAATTTTGCGTTTTGGCAATAATCGTTCGACCTTACATTTTATTCAAAAAAATTTCACGTCAAAAAAAAAAAAAAAAAAAAAAAATGAGCACTGCACCAAACAACTTAGATTTAGTGGAAGCTTTGCAATCTACGGGATGCAAATTATTCTATCAACCTCCAAACGATATAAATATTTATCATGTTACTTGTGAAATGGTTTTTCAATCGGAAAATTCTGTTTCCTGTGACGACGATATTTTTGATTACGAGTTTTTTTATCAAAATTATCATGTTAAATGTAAATTATTATCGCATTATTTGGTTGTAAATATGTTGAATAAGGAGATTTATAATAGAGATTTTGATGCAAACGAGTTAAGACATAGGTATTCATTAACTTCTTATCAAAAATTAAATCTCGAACTAAATTTAAGGGAAATTCTTCCTCTTTATCTCTATATCCCAAATGGATCTTTACATGGAAATACTGAAGGAAATGTGACGCCAAATCAAATTTATTCCGACAATAATGTGCCCGATAATAATTGTGTCGTTTATAATCATGTTACAAATGAAAATGCTCGTCATCAACAACAATAATATTAACAATTACTTAATATAGTATTTATATACGAATTATTTCTTTATTAAGAATTAGATAATGTGATTTTATAGTCACTAAGTTTCCTAAATACTAAATTTGTGAAACCTTTTTTATCAAGAAAATTTAAGCTATGATAATAATATATTAGTTGATTTTATTTATAGATAATATTCAATACAAGAATTAATAAATTTTTTGAATTATGCTTTGATCTTAACTATCGTAAAATGTGTATATAATGATGTTAAATCGATAAATTTTATTATCCATATAAATGTCCATTACGTTTTTATTGCGCGTCACAGGTCAAAACTTAACAAAGAGACATGAATTATGACATTAAGCTCCTCCTAATGAATTCAGCTCGATATTTATGAGACGCTTCTGTGAGTCAGGCTTTTGATAAATAAATAGTTCATGGTGATTAGTGTTTGGATGCAAGTTAATCATCTTTTTCTTCTCGAAATTTCGATCGACACGCAACAGCTTATTTTTTTTTTTTTTTTTGATCAACANAAAAAAAACCAAGTTTGTTGCTGCTGCTTGTCTTGATCGACACAAAAAAAAAATCCAAGTTTGATTGCTTTGATCGACATGAAGAAAAATAAAAATTGCTGCTTCAAAAGATTGTTTATTTTTGATCGACAAGTAATTGATAAATTGATTTTTAATTTAAAATTATTAAATGTATTACACTGGTTCGCTACGAAATTTATGATTTTTTTTTTTAATTTATAATTGTCTTTCCTTGAAAACATTCTATATAAAATTAATAAAAATGAAAAAAATTTTTATATTACTAAATTGAAACTTTTATTTTCTCTTGTTTCATATGGTCTGGTTCATTTCACTGGCAATCATTTCCCAATTCACCTTATCCTAATAACCCTAATAATTTTTTTAACTCTTATCCTAAAATCCTTTGCCTGTCGACAGCGTTGTACATAGGATATGTCCCGCCAAAATTTTAATGTCCGGAACAATGTCCCGTCTAAAAATTACGAGTAGTAAAATAACTAATTATAAATTATCATATCTCTGCCAATATTAATGTTAGAGATATGGAATTACTACTATTTGATTCGTCTTGATAAGACGAATTCAATGGGCTATTTATTAAAATTGAATCAGTAGTTAAAAAAATAACAAATTTAAAGGCACGTGATTTTAATGTCCCAAATCCCAATGTCCCTGGTTTGGACATGCCCTGGACTGTCCTGTCCATGGACATGTCCTGTCTCAATGACAACACCGCCTGTTGGCCTTTCGCTGAAACGTTTGTCGATGAGATAATTGTCGATGAAATGAAATGATTGTCGGTGAAAGAATGCGTTAATGCGACCTTTCATATTAATATTCAAATTTTCAAACCAATATACAGTAAATAATACAACACAAAATATTCCTAGTTTTATTATTTATTTGTTTCATTAGATTTTATTTTCTATTTGTTAATTAATTTATCATTAAATTCATGTCGAATGCTTTATTTGTTTCATGTTTCGGCAAAATAAATATTTGTCAGTAACCATTTAAGACACTAACTATGTTAATTTAGCTTCTAAACATTTATAAGTTCTGTTTAATTGACTTTTGTACATTATGAATGATTGTACAACTGTTTTTTTACATTGTATTCAAATTACTTTATACATTTCCCTTAAAAATTACCTACGTAAGAACGCGTGTTTGTTACACGATAATGGTGATCACATCAATTTTATATATTTAAAACACAAAAGTTGGATTTTAAAAAAATCATTTTTGTATGTATAAGCCTTGTTATTTCAAATAATGCCGGATTCAACTGCTTTCATGTAATTGAGTCAACTTTACGTTAGGATGTCAAGTTCCAAGCAATCTAGACTCTGTAAAAAGAGTTTACACATGTTTTTTATTCATATTTCCTCGTAAATGCATCATATTCGCAGAATTTGCAATTTCAAACTTTGGAAATTATTCCGTGGAGGTTTACGGAAAATATGGAAAATTTTAATAATTTTTAAGAAAAAATTATCAGTTTCGGAAATGCCAAAGTTTACTATTATACATACAGTAATGATAAAATCCATTTTAAGATAAGCGATTAAGATTTTCTATGACTTATTGAGTATAACATATAAATACATATAATTTCTAAATCGAAATTTTTAATTTAAGATGCCCTGCTAAACTTGCTAAATATCACCGCTGGTGATTGTTACCTTACCAGAATTAGGGTAGAGTTTTGGGCGGAATTAAAATGTCATGAAACTCCGCCCGCTAATATTTGCTAATGCTGGTGTGGTGATGATCACCGTGCGGTGATTTTTGACATTTTCAACATAAATAAAGCAATTTATAATCACAAAAAGTGAAATAAAAACCGGATCAATCGTTAACACTATACAGTGATTATGGAGTAGATAAAATATCCCAAATTGCATACAATTCCCAAATCCGAATTTGGGGATACGATCGGATTCTTAATTCTGGCCGAAATTACAATTTGATCAAAGTTAAATCAACAGATCAACAATAAAATTTATCACAATCACTGATTTGCAATTTCCGACTTCCGATCATCATGCACGATATGTGGCGCAGTTGCGATTTAGTTTTTGGGATAAAGAGGAGGTTTCCCGGGTACATTTTCTCCGAGTTCATTCATTACTTATTTTAGATAGACGCTATTAATTTTCTCCTGCACCTATTTCTTTCATGATTTTGGCGTATGATAGACAAAGCTTCTCCTGCATATCTCATTCATAAATTACTTGTTTTGGGATCGTACTAATTTCTGATATTGGAATTATCTCTTTCATATATTCCGACGTGAAAATCTCTTTCAATATATTACTTATTTTGGATATATTAACTTTTGCACATACATTCTTTATCTCTTTCATATAATTTGGCGTACGATAACGAACTTCTGGGCGTCTCTTTAATATATTACTAAGTTTGGATCATTAATCATTTATCTTTCTTGGCGTGCATTAACGACACATATCTCTTTCATAAATTGCTTAGTAAGGATAGCTTATTTGCCCTTTTATATAATTTTGCATACAGTAATGAAACAACTCCTGCATGTCTCTTTCATATATTGCTCAGTTTATATTATTTACTTACCTATTTTGTATAATTTTGGCTTATGATAATGAAACATCTCCTGCATATTTCTTTCATATATCTCTCAATTCGGATCATAAGTTTACCTTTTTCATATTTTAACATACAATTATATCATTCGTTTACACATTTTTAATTTTTCACCTTATTTTGTGCACGAATCAGATTAAGATAATCTAGTGACGTGTTAAATTGAAAATATAATTGTGGAATTTGCCTATAATTTGTCCTTACTGACCTGATAATGTATGGATAATGTCTGAAATATTCATATTCCGGCACATTATCCGGATATTTCGAAATATTCATATTTAGGTAAATTATCCGGACATTTCAAAATGACCGGAATATTTTATGTTTCGGTACATTATCCGGACTCAAAGTGTCCGGAAACTTTCACGGACGTTTTCTAAACATCGGACATCATCATTGCAATTTCCGAACATCTCTTTTTTACGGAAAAAAATTGATCATTTTCAAAACAACTTTGATTTTGCATTCAAAGAGTTTTAGAAAGCATAATACGGAATATAGAGAAGCCAAATACCAAGAAATATTCTCGTTATTCCTTATTTATAGTTAAACCAATTCAAGTACTTCGTCGTATAAAGCCGATAAAGTTGTATCCATCTGAATATGTGGAGTAGCAAGAAGTAGAATATGTAATGCAAGGATTTTATAAGTTTTGATTTGGTTTGAATAAAAAAAAAAAAAATTCCACACAAAGGTTTTTTTTTTCTTTTTTTTTTCTTTTGTATTTTAATTAGATTAAAATTATTTCAACATGCTATTTTCCATAATGAAAAGTATGAAAGGACTAGATTAAAATAAAAATTTAAATTTACCGCACAATTTTAACATAACGTATTCTGATGATTTTTTTTCCAGTGCTAGATACAACAATTTATTTAATCGCATTGCGAAATGATTAAATAAACTACTAAATAAATTCAACGATATTTTATATTAAAAAAGAAACTATTAGATATTTATATGAAAAAGCAGATGATCAATTCCATATTCGACATAAAATTCTTGATAAACAAATAAAATTTCTAAATTTGAAATGTTGGGATGAAGATGATCTACAAATTAATCATCGTTAAATCACATGATGACGAAGAATAAGTATTAGTTATTTACTAATCTAGTAGTATATAAATGGGTTATCATCCGAAGGATGATGGCCCATTTATATACTAAACTAGATCAGTAAATAACTTTTTTATCATCCTAGATATACTAATTGGTCCGCCAGTTTATAACTGGCGGAAAAAATCCTAAATACCAATTAGTAGCCAGGTGATAATAATTTTTTATCGCATGAAACAACTATATTAGTATATTGGATAGCAATTAATTATAGACAAAGAAATGTTTTGAGCAATTTCCTTAAAAATTCGGGAGAACGATTATCACGATCAAATAAATTTGAAATTAATGCGCAGTAAGGAGTTGTAAATTTTCGATGAGATGACAAGTTTAAAACGTAACGTAACCTTTCATTTTATTGCGTATTCACTTACTGACTTCGCTTTATTTATCGACATAACATTCTTCTGAATGAAATTTTGCCTTCTTTAAAGTTTTTTTGAAAGATATCCTATGTATTTATTATATATAATTCATTTTAAATATTATTGAAATTTCTGGATAAAAAACTTTTTCACAATTAACGAGATTTAACTTATTACTATTTGGGGTTGAACTGACGAAACTTATGCTAATAAAAATTACTTGGTGCCATACAGAGCTCATTATATCAGAATTTAAGGCTTGAATAAGGTGTAAAGCGAGGAAGTATGAAAATTCAGCATATACTTGGGTGCCGAAACCTACATATGCCGAAATATATTTGGATTTGACATATGCCGAAATATAGTTTCGGCATTTTGCCGAAATCCCAAATCCCAAATCCCAAACTATTGCCGAAATCCCAAATTATTGCCGAAATCCCAAATTGTTGCCGAAATCCCAAATTATTTTCGGTCGGACTGAAATGATCTGCAAAAAATTCCTTTTTTTGGAAAATTGCGTGACCATTTTCAATTTTGATAGGGAACAAAATTTCCTTTATTTGGATTTGTGTAACATCATGTGATACAATTTGACCAACAACGATTTGGAATTTAGCAACGATAGGGATTTTTCGGCTGGAGCTGTGAACACATTGCGGTCGACTCTGACCTTGTGGTAATGTAAAGATTATGGTAGCATTCGGCAGACCAACGCATTATCCCCCAGAAATGGGGAGAGGTTAGAGGGTAGATTTGGGGTCCCTGGGGCATTCTCGGGGGACGCCCTAAATCTTAGTTCGAAGGGTGAGGTCCCGTAGGGGATGAATTTCCAAATTTCTATACACGTATTTTAGTTGTCCATCATGTAAATGCTGTCTTACTTTAATTTGTAATAGTTTTGGTTATACTACTCTTCTAGTAATAAAATAAAAATAAATAAATAAATTGGGATTTTTCGGCAATAATTTGGGATTTCGACAACAATTTGGGATTTCGGCAATGGTTTGGGATTTGGAATTTCGGCAATCGGCATATGCTGAAAGGGGTTTTGATTTCGGCATATAGCCGAAAAGTTTCGGCACCCAAGTTTAATTCAGCATGTATGATTTTTCTTTGCGAGATTCGCGTAGTCAATATATGTAAACGTTAATTACTTAGTATACTATTGGGTATTACTAAATATCACCAATGGTCACGTGAATTTATGATGTAATTCCGCCCAGTATTTTATTAAATTTTTTAATTCCGGCCAAAAGTATCATAATGTATGGTGAACTTTAGTAATACCCATATTGGCCATATAAAATTTGGTTTAACGGTGTATTTCACCTATGTAATACATTAAATTTTTTAAAATTTCGCTTTGAAATTCACCAAAAGTAAATTTTACCTTTATGCGTAAACTAATATTTTCATTATATTTTTGATTATATAATGTCGTATTAAAAATTGTAAATTTTATTTTTTTTTGATTTTTTTTAAGCTGAAAAAATTTAGATTTTGATATAATAAATATAATTCACATAATATGGTAAAAATCATTCCTTAACCTAATGATCCAGTCGTGAATACTTCAAACATTTCTCAAACCCGCGTACGGCGTACTACCTAAATTATAATTAAAATTACTTGTATTTTAAACGTCAATATAAATGAATTTTATGCCAGTTCATTGATTTTCTATTCATATTTTTCATGTGATATAGGTTAATGTAGTAATTATCCTTTTGTATATTACGTCCAAATAAAAAATTTTTTAATAATTCAAGTTCAGAATTTTTTTTTTTACTTTTTACAATAACTGAAGCGCCTAGAAAATAAATGAATTTTATTTTATACCTGTTGATTATACATACAGTTGGTACAGTACATCTATCCTAAGATTACGATTCATGGTATGGCCAATTTTCATCTAGACGTCCCTTTACCTAATTACCTTTATTTTGGAATCACAGTCTCTTCCGAAGTTTACATATTTTGGGTTCACTTTGCAATAATTTCTATCCTGTTATTCATAATAAGATCTATATTTACAATTTCACGTTTAGGTTAAAGGAAGGTTATCACATTATTATTTAACGAATTACTTCTTGTGATGACTATGTCAACAAATACGTAACTTGTCAAATTTTGATTTGCTAATTTAATTAGAGTATTCACGTGAAGACATTCACTTTTATAAATGATCAACATTTTATTAGCGTTACTGCAAACCATAAAATATATAAGACCTATTCCCATCGAAATTTTTTTTTTTTTAAAAAAAAAAGGGGGGACGAAAAAATGAATACGAATACTACTATTACTTCTAATCCAGAAAACAAGGTTTCAATTCAAACTATGCAAAACCATCAAGTTTTTCAATCGAATGAACTTAGATTATTCTATCAAGCACCAAATGATGATAATTTTTATCATGTAACTTGTAAAACGATTTTGCAAGATTCTATTTCCTGGAACGATGATGATTATGATTACGAATTTTTTTTTCAAAGTTATCATGTTACATGTAAATTATTATCACATTCTTCAATTTTAAATATATTGAATAAGGAAATTTATGGAAGGGATTTCAATTTAAATGACTTCAAACAAAAATATTTATTATTAACTTCACGACAAAAGTTAAATCTCGAAACAAGCTTAAAGCAGATTCTCCCTTTGTACCTCTCGCAACATCCTATTCCTGACGAAGAGACGAGACTAGATTACGATAAAAGTTTAGATTCTTCTCACGATAAAAATATTGAAAATAATATTATGGTGACTCAAGGATATTCAACGGTTAACAGCCAAAACAATTTCGACAATAGCTGGCAACACAATGATTATAATTCTCAACAAGATAATGAAATTTATACTTATGTCGATCATTCATACGATTTTCCTCAATACCCAAATATCCAACAGTAATAATATTTTGATAACATCACGTTTATTTTTCAATTTTCGATTTTTCTTTTACACCTTCACTTTTCTTTTCTTTTTTTTTTTGTTTGCTTAGGAATTTATTTTCTTTGTAATAAATTTGGTTATATTTGATACTGTATCTTTTTACTTTTTATTTGGGTTTATTACACGTTTTAACAAGTTCAAACGTACGGTATGATAATCTATAAAATGGGAACCAATAACGATTTTGGGATTTTCATTATACAGCAAAGTATATAGTATATATGAATTTTTTTAGTAAGAATAAATAAATAAAGTTCTATTATAAAAAAAATATATTCTCAAAAATTTTTTCCGAATTAAAATTAAAAATATGATTGCTGATATAAAGAAAAAAATAATAAATAAATAAAAATAAAATAAAGTTTTATTATAAAAAAAATATATATTCTAAAAATTTTTTTCCGAATTAAATTAAAAGAATAAAATAAAATATTGCTGATATAAAGAAAATTATTAATTCGCGAACACAGATCCACTTTTTGATCATGCTAATTTCATAGATCATTTAGATGAAATATTTATTAAATTTAAAGTAGTGACCAAGAAATCAATTTACAAATATGAACAATAATTAAATTTAATATAAATATGGTGAATATAGATTTTATACATAAATAAAACGTTGATAGTTAAACATATATTGGCCAACAATAAAAAAAAAGAAAAAGTTGTAACCAATCAATCAGTATATACTGAATAATAATGATTTTATAGTAAAGTTTCACATGCAAAATATAAGATTAATTTATACCTGCAAACAAAATATTACATACTTTTCCCTTTGATTTACATCAAAAAATTTTATTGTACTCATGTAAACTTATGCAAATTTATTACGCAAATTTACGCCACATAATACAAACTACGTAAACATACGTATTATAGTCTTATATAGAAATAAACATGCAAATTTGTAATATTTACATAAATTTATGATGTAAACATATGATGTAAATTTACACAAATTTTACGCAATATACTATCTATATTAAGTAATAAGCGTAAAATTCACATGTGTTTTATGCAATATTAAAAATTGTAAATGTAATGATGCACCAATTAGAAAATTTTTTTTGATATATGAGGTTTAATTTCTAAAATTGTATAATTCTCATGAAATATAATAAATAAAACTGCGGTTGTTGCCTTTTTAGTAATCATTCTATAATAACGTAAATTAAAATATTTAATAATATTGTATAAAATAATATTTACAAGTAATATTTTATTAAATCTGGTATTATCTGGATATCAATAAATTTAAATTTAAAAATATATAAAATATATTAGATTAAATGATCTGCATTATATTTCACATCTGTTACAATTAAAAAGTTATATATATTTTATATTATTATATAAAAATTTATAAAAATAAAATTTTATAAATAAACTTAATAATAACCAATTATACTAATTTTTGTTATAACGATAAGCATTATTTTTAATAATAAGTAATTATTTATATAATTAGAATTTAATATAATAATTTAAAATAGACTAATTTTAGCTTATAATAAACTTTTTTTTACTAAAATCATTTATATAAAATTTTATATATTATATACAGTATATTAAAATTAAAATTATAAATTAGCTATATTAGTATTATATTAGGCCAATTATGTAGCTAGTCTTTTGGAAATATCCATCTTGATTTTTGAAAAGCTAGTATCCAATACTAGCAGTACAAGATATTTATCCTTCAAGGTATATTTTAATTAAAGTAGCTGATTAACTGCTAGTACTTTAACAGCTTAACTGCTTACCACCCTAAGGTTAGCAGATTCAAGTATATTTATTAGCATTATATTAGTATATAATAAAAAAATAATAAATGATTATATAACAAAAATAAATTGCATTTTGTGAAAATCCATTTCAAATATAATATGATCAACTTTATAATTTAATTTAAAAAATATAATTCCATATTTTAATTTGTAAATTATAATAATTATTTTATAAATTAACTTATTTAAATAAAATTTTTATACTAATAAAAAATTAGTTGAATTATATAAATAAAAAATTTCTGCTAAATTTGTTAAATTTGATTTCTTTAATATAATTATACTGTATATATATAAATACTTTATATATTTAATATTTAAAATAAAAAATAAATTTTTTACAAATATGATAAATGTAATAAATGAATTGATTCATTATTTTTTTTTTTTTATTTTTAAAATATAGACACGACTGGAGTATTCATTATTTATTAAATTTTTATTTCACAGAATTCATTATTTAGAACCAGTCCACGTGACTATATTTTGTTAGTATCCTATTTGTCACATATTAAATGTCACATGGTAAATTTTCTTAGTGCCAGCTAAATTCCTATAATGCTGGTAACGAGCCATGATGTTGGCCAATTACGTGACAGATTTACTGTGCAATCTACAGTCAGCTCTTAATATAACGAACCCTCTGTATTAAATTTTATGTCTAATAAATATAATTCGTTATAACAAGGGATATTTGACGTATTTGGTTGGTTAAATGTCACGTGTTATGAAAATTTCGGTATGAAGCGAGTTCGTTATATCGTAGGGGGTTTTTAATTTAAATATTTAAAGTCAATTCTAAAAAAATAAATTTGAAGCTTTGAAAAATATTTTTTCATATTAAATATATCAAATCAATTTAGCCTAACAAGTAACAATCTTTGGATTTAGTTTAAACTTAAATTATATTCGCATCAAATTCTCAAATTTAATTTTAGTGTAACTTATGCGGTAGTTATTTATAAATCCGCAAATATAAAGTAAAATATAACGCACAAACTAATATTATAGATTTAAAAATTTAAAAATATATTATTTTTTTACTAAAAAGTATGGTAAAATTTTAAACAATAAAGGCCATTTTTATAAGATCTGAATAATCGAATTCAGAAAAAATGTAATTTATAAATTTGAAGACTTGAATAATTTGTTATCTATTGATTGTAAAAAGATGAAAATTAGCTCATTGAATTCATCACATCAAGAAATATATCTAACGGTAACAATTTCTTATTACGTGATGTCAGATATTAGCTTAATAATCTATACACTTATCACTAAAATTATAGATGAATTTTTACAATTGATTCACAGATCTTAAATCTGAATTAATTAATCAAATTAAATTAAAAGTATTAAATTTTAACACGTGATACGCGATAAAAGCACATGACGCAACTTTTGACCTACTAATATCACATATAGGTTTAAAAAATATAAAAATTAATAATTTTATGTCTTAAGTAATAAAGAATTTGAACCTCCATTATATACATGAAGATGTCACATGGTATTGTTGATGTATTGATATACTGTATTTGCGAGCGAAGGATGTAAGATTCCTATAAAATTGACACTCTAGTTACAAGGTATATTATCACCATTGCCGATCGAGTAAGGTTGGATTAGTCCGGTCCAGTCCGATCCAATCCCAAAAAGACCGGCCTTTCAGCTAGGACCGGACCGGACCGGCAGTCCTTAAAGTTTTTAAATTATCTTATTATATCAACGGTATTCTTGGGTTGATAATGAAATGCAGGTCGCACAAAAAATTGACATTAATTTATTATATTTATTACCTTTGTTTTCATTGTAAACTAAAATCTCAAAGTTTAAGAGTAAAAATACTGGATAGAATTATACAACTATCGAAATATGAAAAAAAATTGTAATTGAAATAAAAAAATAAAAGTAAAATTATCAATTGATGCTGATGCATATACGAAAAATTTTTTATTTCTCATACTTTAACATTTTTAAAGCATCAATGAGAAATCAAATGATATTGATATTACAAAATACCAAAATATGAAAATTTTGATATTTCAAAATGAAAACTTTATTAATAATATATAATTTATCATTTTTATATTAGATAGAAAATTTTTGGACCGGTCCGGTCTTCAAATCTCGGACTGAAGATCGGGAAGATCGGTCCCAAGACACAGGACCGGTCTTTGCTGGGATCGATCCAACCCTACGATCAAGTATTGTGACTCCGAAATCATTTAATCGAGACATTTCGAAACATATAATTTACCTTAATAAAAGAAATTTTCGTGCTATAAGTTAGTGTTTCGGGCGAATGAAACTTCCGAACTAGTTTCACACTGAGAGCAAAATCCGAAATAGGCGAAACTTGCAAAACACTTTTTATTTTTTTGTGATACATTTTACGATAGTACAAACAACACAAAATTTATTAATAAATCGCAACTTTTACAATTTACATAGTATCAACTATTTCATCAGCTTCAGCAGCTGGGTCCCATTCAATATCATTTTCATTTTTCATCCATAGATTCTTCTATTTCATCATTTTCACTCTCTATACTATCTATACTATCTTCAATTATATCTTCTAAATTATTAATAATAAATGTATCTAAATTTAAATAATTTAAATCTAATTCTTCCTCATCACCAATTACTATTTCCTTCTCATTAATGTAATAGTTAGGCAAATCATCTTCTAATTCAAGAAGGTCTTGGTCGGGATTCAAATGAGCGTCAACAAAAATTTGATGAATTTCTTCAGCAGATCTTTCCACGCTGTAATGTGGTAATTCTTTTTGCCAGCTGCATGAGGCGTAACAGAAAAAAGTTTCACTGAACTAGGTAATCCTCATCTTCAGAAAGCTATCCTCAATGGAAGATCACCGTTCATCTGGAGTTTCAGTTTCACTTACTTTAATGTCGGGGGCTTTTCTCTTTTACGGTATTTCTTTATCTGGTACATTAATTCTTTACGTTCCCATTTTTTTCCCCATTTTCATAAAAATTTCATCTGCTATCAATAACAAATCTCTAAAGTTCCTTACGCCCAGTAAATACCTATTTAATTTAATAAAAAACAATTCACAAATAATTCACATTAGGGTTTAATATTATTTATTATTCCAATATTAAAAAATATAATTAATTTTTTTTTTTAATTATTATAAGTTATTGTGCTTTGCAACGATTAATATCACAATTATTAACCAATGATAACAGAAGATTTTGTCACGTAGTGGTCAAATATGTCCAATCAGAATGCTAGAATTGGTTAATGCAAAGCACAATCACGATAATCCCATTGACTTTAGCTTTTGATTTTTTAAAAATAACAAAATGATCGGCAAGTATATTTAATTAACGAAGTGCGATAATTCATATTTAATATTAATGTTATTAATTATTATTTTTATTATTATATAATATATTATGGAAATAAAATTTGTGCGCACCCGCGCATGTGCGCACCCCTCCATTTTTGGTAATTTTTATATAGTAAATTTGTCGATCATCAATTATCATGTGACTTTAGTAAAATCCCGATTTTTTTAAATATTCATGCCGCAACTCTTACGTACATATTATAGAGCCTTAAATTTTATTTACTATGCGTATTTTTGCCCATTCTACAACTTTACTTAATGAGCCATGAAGGGTTTAGAATGTCATTTTTGACTTTTATATATAATATATCCATGGGGTGCACACAAATTTTAAACCCATATGTTATTACAAATTTATAATTATTTGTTAAAAAAATAAAAATTAAAATTTTTCTAATCGTCACAATTGAGAAATTACAATATTTTTTTAATTGATTTATATAAATTATTTTAATAGTTACTAATTTACTTTTTAGAAAATCTATTGTATTCAAACTTACGGGATGTAAAACAAACTTACGGGATGTAAAAAAAAGTATGATAAATATGCCAGATCAGCAAATTCGATTAAAAAATTGAAATACACTGCTGACGAAAAGTACAACGATTCTTGATCGGTAATTTTTTAATTGCCGCTCCAAGTTTTGCAAGTCCAAGGAAACAATCAGCAAGAGTGCAGGATTGGGATTCTAATGCTGCAATTGATTGTTTAATAGGGTGTGGCGTAAATGCCAATACACGCACATCATCAAAAAATGCGCGTCAGTGATCGAAGTACTGATAAGGCCGTTCCAAGCTGATTCTTCGTTTAACATAACATAAGTAGAACGGTGAGAGGGGGGGGATACTAAAAATAATACAACTATAATAATTTCACGTGATAATTATACTGCAATTTTATTAGATGTATGATGTAATTTAAAAATGTATTAAACGAAAAATAAATAAAAATAATTAAAGTATTTTAAAATTATTTATTTGTATAATTGTATGTTAAAACTAATTACACTATTTGTCAATATAATCTATGTTTTACGGCGCTTTGAGGCACGTCCGTTAGTCTTAATCTCTCCTTTAGTATGAAAACCTTTTCTATTCTCTATACACATCTCACATAGTGGATAAATTTGTTTGAAACGCTGTTTCAAAGATTCCGGAGGTGCCACCAAACCTTCACTTTCTCCACAATAGTAACAAATTGGATAATTTCCTGATTTACGGCTTGAATAATACAATACTTCAATTGGTGAGTCACAATTGATACGTGTTCGTACAAACACTACTTCTTTCAAGTAGTGATCATCAGGAAAAATTGGTGCACCGCAGGAGTATGAATATGACTCTAGTACTTGTTGAAAATCTTGTTGTTCGTCACTATTCAAGAATTTGTCACTATACACACAGCGACGCTTTTTACAATCTTCACAATCAATATAACCACGGATTTTCCCTACAACTAGAATAGATTTTGGAATAGGTTCTGCGTTCGCCTGTGATTGCATATATGTTGGTCTATATTCTTCGGTAGTTTCAGTTCCATAGACACTTTGAAAAGCCGCGTAATGGTCAGTATTCTCTATTTTTTAAAAGGGAGTTTATATGTTGAATTACATTAAACTTATGAAATAACAATTGATATTAAACATACAAAATAATAATTAATAGATACCTTGCGAAGGGATCGGATCTGGAAGAAAACTCAAATCATGAAATTCTTGTGAAGGAAGACGAATTGGTTTACAATATGGACAAGTAGGATTATTGCACTTTTTTATCTTAATGTCAATGGAGTATATTAGGGGGGATAATAATATCTTTGGCAATTCTGCTTAAAATATTTTAAATGAATTTCACTATAGTCATCACAAAACCTGAAAACTATAGGCGCGCGCATGGCAATGAGTATCCATAAATTCAATCAATGCAGAATGACGACGTATTTGCGATTGTGTGGTTTCGTCAATTTTCAAAGTGGGGTCTATAACAAAAATTGACTTCTCAAAATAATAAATAATATTAATATCAATTTGCATTTCAACAGATAGAATTTCATGGTGTATATAGTATTAAATTTTGTGGTTATAAAAGTTTAATTCAATAATAATATTTATTATCATACGAAATTGATTATTACCTCAAATAATTTAGTAATTATTTCTTCACTTGCTGATCCATGACATTTGAATTTCTTATCTTTTAATACTAGCCGTTCTGTTCGATTATTTAACATGTCTTGAATATTTGCTATACTCTCTATTAATTCAGAATTTAATTCATTAAATTCTTGAGCCTTTTTACGTATATCATCTAAGGTATTTGCCGTTTCAAACAAAGCTTCAGATTCAGGACTCATCTGATTACGCTTAAGTGCTACACCTTGTAAACCCAAATTCAAGATACTCATAATACGTTCAGCTGGATTTGTCCAGCTATGATTGGGCACAGTGCGAACTGCAATGAGCATGTCAAAATCCCCCTGTAGAAAAAGAGCAATCAATGCAATCTGCACAGATCCATAATTGCATCGATGATCCGGCCCTCCATCAGTATAAAGGCATAGTATTGGTGGCGTTACTTGATGTTCATATTGGATATTAAGTGCATTTAAAAACTCAGTTGAATGTCTGATGGCAGAACTTGGCTCAAAGGTTGTATCTTTATAAGATACAAAAACTTGACCATCATAAAATGATCCAAAAATATCCTCAGGGATTGATATGAAAAACGTAACTGATGGTGTTAAAGATAGCTTTGTGAAGTCATGATCTGCAGCAGCCAATGTACTATTTTGATCCACCATAGAGCGCCGGTTTCGTACACCTGTAGAAACTGCAACATCTTCTCCAATAGGAACTTTATGTTTGTCATCTGCAGAAATCAAACAAGTCCACTGATGGTACTTAATGCAATATTCTCTAAGATACCGGAAAAGTGCTGCACAATAATGTGCATCATCACTATTTTTCTGAAGCAACCGACCTTGTACCTTAAATTTTACGTTGAATCGACCAGTGTGATGTATAGATCGTGTTGCAATAGCATTTGTAGGGCAAAACTGTAGGCGGATCCATTCTTCTGATGGAATATGAATAGTAAAAGGAAGAGGATTACCATGGATGATATATAATTTTTCCATTATTATTTCACGAAGATCACGAACAGATAAGGCTAATGGCATGTATAGAATAGTTTCATGTCTCCGTTCATCTACTGCAAGCAAGTTCTATTATTAATTCCAAATAAAATAATTTTATTATTTTTAGTGAATTAGAACACTTTATAACAAATTAAACAATAGAAAGTCCAACCTGTTCATTGAAATATGCTTCTGTTTCATCCCAAAATATATTAAATTTTGTTCCATCAAAACCATTATTTGTTCGCAAATCAGATATAATGGTGGGATCTGCCAAAGTTAACATCAATTGTAATCTCTCTTCTACTTCACGACTGATAGAATTTGAAGATACGGCAGCATTACCAGTGAGATCAAAATGAAGCATACGTAGTACAGCTGGTGTAACTTTCTGAATGTACGAATACTATAAAAATTATTATGAGTGAGATAAAATAATATATTTGTTAAACATCTATTGCATTATTTTTACCTTATTAAGCACATTCTTTTGCATTTGTCGTGTAAAATAATGAGGTAAACCTTCGTGAATCCTAGCAAGCATTCGTACTTTCAACGTTTCATTTTGTTCATCATTAAATTCTTCAGCTTCCGGAATTTTCCATACAAAATTAATGGTTCCCAAATGACTGCCTTGATGATACCTAAAAATGATAAATAATTATTATATAAATTTATAATGTAAATAAATTAATATAATGTTATAGATTTATATTTGAACCTATATATGCCTATTGGAAACATGAGCTGCAATTCTTTTATAAATCGGTATCTTTTCATAACATCATTTGGAAGATATTGCTGAATGTTAACATGTTCATAAACTTGTTTTTCAAATAAAAGATTGTTCAGTTGTTTATATTTATCTTTGAGGTTATCACGTTTACAAGCAGCAGTCCGATACATAATACAGTTATTTTCAGGACCGCGAGCACTTTCATCACAATGGTGATGCTTGGTCATAATAATAGTAGCTTCATTTAGATACTGAACATATTTTTCCAGAATTCCAATTAGCGAAAGAATTGCTGGAACTACTTGATTCCATATATCATTACTTGCCCATGGTTGACTAATAGATAATCCAAGAAAACTTGAAAGTTGAAGAAGTTTATGTTGTGACAATTGAATTTTTTTATGATGACCGGAATGGTAATATTGGTTATATGTATCACCATCTTGATAGGTTTTCAGTTGTGTGAAAAGGATAGGCAAGTGACATGAACGTGCATTTAATGTGGAGTGATGTGGATCAATATACCAGATTGCATCCTTAATACGATTTACAAATATTTTGCCAATCGTATCGTGCACACCACCCATCCAGCCAACTTTTAGATCTTGAAGAAGTTCGATAATTTCATTATAAAGTTGATCACAATTATTATATTCAGTAATACGTTGAGGAAGTAAAAGTTTTCTTGAATTTTGCATTAAAATGCTAAAAGCACTTTCTCTATTTTGAGTCGGAATAGGAATATCTTGTGTATTTAAATTTGACTCAACAAAACAAAATTTAACTCGCAAAAACCCTAAAACTTCTAGTATTTTTAAGTCTCCTTTTAGTCCATTATCAACTTCTCGCCAGTTTTCAGACTTTTCTTGTCTAATAAAAATTTTAACCTCCCTATCGTTATATTGTCCTAATGTTATTGCATCAAAAAGGTCAGAAAATTTATTATCTATGGCTTCTATACTCACTACACGTTCAGAAATAACACACTTAATACTTTCATTAACTTGAACCAAAAGATAAAGCATATTTTGCACAAATATTTTACCATAAAAGACTAATTAAAAGCATCCGTGTTTTACATAAAAAATCGCGAAAATATATTTAAATTTTATAGATCTATATCTATTTTGTAAATATCACGAGGGGCTTTCTTTAAAAAAGTACATTATCACTGATATATAAAATAATCAATAAAATATCATCACATGACTGAAACGTCGCAATTCTATTGGTCACGTATAATTAGGGATGGGGAAGTTCCCGAAATGAGCGGTTCGAACCCAGTTTAGAACCAAGAACTGAACCGGACCTGAGAACCGGTTCAATTCTCTAGAACCGAACCCTCCGGTCTGAACCATTCGGTTCGGTTCAGTTCGATTTGTTAATACATGTGCCGATCAATAATTTGATCATAAATTTATTATAGTTATCCTATAAAAAATTTTATCCGTTATTTCTGTAAAAATTCCGTAAAAATGAGCCTTTTACGGATCCAATGATCCATTCACTGAAAATGTAAATAACGATAAATTCCGGGATATAAGGTTATTATTACGTTATTTTGTATCATGCCGGAATTACATAAAATCGAACAATATGTAAGTAATGTAAATCTTATAGTTTATTTGATTACATAATCGTTATATTTACGTTGATCCGATACATACTTTATTATATTTTTGCTATATATTTTTATATGTATTCGTTATTAATAAATATAACACTAAATTAATAATTTTAAATAATTTATAAAAACATTTGAGTATTTGAACTTAATTTATGAAATTAATTCTATCATACGTACAAACAGTACAAAAAATTATATAAAAATATCTATAAAAATATAAACGGAATTATCCGTGAGAAATTGATTTTATCATGAAGATTGAATTCTAACTATGACAAAATTCCGGATCATAATTCACAAAAAAGTAAAAATTGATAATATATATTAATATAAACAATGTGATGATTAACCTAAAAAAGAATCTACTTTCCTTGTGTAATAGCCGATAACTGGATTATTCATAAATAAATACTGATGATCTAAGAATAATATTCTCTTTTCGGAATGGACGTTCTGAAAGAATGTCAAGCGACGAAGAATTCAACCCCAACCAAGAAAATCTAGAAGAATATGACACTGAAGAGTGGGAAGGTTCTGAGGAGCAAATTTGTTCAGAACTTAGTGATTTGGACATATCAAATACGTTAGGAAGTACCGTATAGTTATACTTTGATAAGAACCCATCATACACACCAGGCTATAATGTCTGTAAAAAGTGTTCACATAGATATAAAATAACAACGGGTGTTAGTACTTTACGAAAACATCTTAATAAACACCAATTACGAGCACCTACGAAGAAATATCAAGTCTTGACTAAAAAAGGCGTTCCTTTCAACTATGATGAACAAAAAATTCACGATAAATACCTTACCAATTGGTTGATATGTGATCTCCAGCCCTTTACTGTTGTTGAAACTCATCATTTTAAAGCATTTCTTAATTTCTTTTGCCCAAATTATATCATTCCTGACCGGCATAAGGCAAAAGGTATTAATTTATCGTGTAAAATCTTTTAAAAGGCATATCTAATTATCTTTCTATTTAAATAGATTTCATAATCGATACATTTACAGCCCAAAGAAACACAGTTATTGGCGAACTTCGTAAAATTACAGGGAAATTCGCATTAACGGCAGACATGTGGACGTCTACTATAAATCAGGAGGCATTTTTAGGAATCACGATTCATTATGTAGATCTTGATTGGAAACTCCAGAACTTTCTTCTAGATATCATTCCTTTCAAAATTAGGCACACCGGAACAAATATTGCACAAGAAATAAAGCGCACCTTGGAGGAGTTCAATATTTTTGATAGAATTATCGCGCTCACGACAGATAATGAGTCCGCTATGATAGTTTGTGGAAGAGAGATAGCTTTAACTATAGAAGACGAAATTTCTTCCATGACTTTTTCTCATTGCCGATGCGCTGCACATGTCCTAAATTTGGGCGTACAGGAAGGATTAAAACTTATTAATGATTCTGTTAAAAAAGCGCGTAAACTTATGAAGAGTATCAAAAATTCAACTCGCTTGTGTGATGAACTTCGTCTCCTATGTGATTTAAAGAATATGAAATACCTTAAACCTCTTATTGATATAGTTACTCGCTGGAACTCGACCTTTTATATGCTAAGATGGTTGGAAGCACTTGAACCAGCATTAGTCTTACTGGTAGCTGATAATCGATCAATCAGTATCTATTATCCAAATGATGATGACTGGATTGCTATCAAAGTAAATAAAACCATTTAAATAATAAAATAATTTTTATTCAATTTTCTAATATTACTTCCTTTACCTTTAAACTAGGATACACTCTTACTTCTTGAACTCCTGGAAAGAGCTACCAAGTATTTATCTGCATCTTCCTATCCAACTATAGGAGAAACTCGTTTTATTTTTTCAGGAATCCAAGCACATTTAATAAAATATATAGAAAAGGAAACTTTTACTCAACGTGATATGGCATCTTCAATATATAGGAAAATTCGACAATACTGGATGATTATGGACGAATCTTCAATAATTTCTGCAATTGTAGACCCTCGAAATAAACTTACAGTCTTCCCAGAAGAATCAAGGTTGAATGCTCTCAGGCATATCCAAGACATATACAAGATTTACAAAGAGCAATTCACACCTAAGAATAAAGTGCAATATGCTTCTAATAGCAAACGCCAGTATTTTTTACTACTCCAACAAGAAAATGAAGTAGACCGAATTAATGAAGAAATGTTTACTTCAACAATAGAATTGGAAGAACTGGATCATTATCTCCAATTACCAGTTGATGTGGGAACTGACCCTCTTATGTGGTGGCAAGCGCATTATAAAGAATTTCCAGTTTTATGTAATATTGCGCGAGATTTTCTCCCTATTCAAGCAACTAGCGTTGCATCAGAGCAAGCATTTTCGGTTGCTGGAAACACAATTACTAAAACCCGAAATCGTTTGTTACCAGAGACAGCAAGAGCATGTCTGTGTGTGAAAAGTTGGATGGATAAGGGTTTGATTGAATAATAATTAGTAATTTTTATATTGAATAATGCTTAAAAAAAAACATTATATTAATAAATAATGGAAAGAACAATATAATTGTATATTTGTATTCTTGGGAGGTGTGATTTAGGTTTTAGTGAGAAAAAGGTTATAAAAAACTTTTTCTTTTTAATTGTTGAAGTACATTTACAGTAATTTTATTAATACTGCAATAAACGTTTTAATTTTAGCTTTATACATTTTTCTCAAAAAAAAAATTCGCGTTTATTTAATATTCAATTATTTATAAAGTGCACAAAAGAAACTAACCTTAAAAGGTTAAAATCAAGGTTTTGCATACACTAGAGACCAATTAAACTGCGATATTAACAAACAAAGTTGTGGCTTGTCAGATGATCAGATGACATACCGTTAATTATTTAAAATTCAAACTGACCTGAAGAACCGAACCGCTCAGAATTACTTTTTTGAACGAACCGGTTCAAAACCGGTTAAACCGCTTTGCGGAACCAGAACCGAACCGATAGAACCGTCCCCATCCCTACGTATAATGTATAATATTCGTCTTAAATTTGCTAAAATATGGGGGGGGTTATGTTAAACGAAGAATCAACTTGGAACAGCCTAATATTGCCGTTGAAAGAATTCCAGGTTTTTCAGATTTTAACTAGATAATATTTAAAAAGTGAATATAATTATAAATCAAAAATTCTACGAATAAATTTCATAATCTTACATTTTCTAAGGGTATTTTATGACGCATAATTGAATCTATACAATCATACATAGTATGCCATCTTGTATCTATTCATTTTTTAATCCTCCACCACTAATATCACAAGTTTTGGCCTCATCTTTTAATGCAGCACCTTTTTTATTTCAAATGTTAATTGAGAATGATAAAATAAACAAAAATAATTTAAATTACCTCCTTGATGGCTTTTTTTTTTAAAATATGTTACTATGGTATTATATTTGTTAAAATACGATTTGCAAATGAAGTAGAGCAAATATCAAATTAATAGATGTGCTATACAACGCACATTAAGAATATTCTTATATTTTTCTGCAATTATTTGTCGTGCATTTCGAATATTTGCCCCTGAATCCGATACAATTGCCGAAAAATTTGCAGTTCGATTTTGGCTATTATTTCATAAATTGTTTTGGCTAAAAATTCACCAGTATGTCGCTTATGGGTCCTTTAAGCACCACAGATATTCCCTATGATCAGGCGTATGAATCAAGAAATTCCAAATTGATTCATTTGCTAAGTCCGTCCACCATCACATGCTTATAAATTTAAAAATAAAAATTAAATTAAGTTTCATTGAATATTAATTGAATAATATTATAATAAACCTCACATAATGTTAAATTAGTTGTATTTGTTAATTTCTTGACAACTCGTACGTTTACAACTTTGATAAGAGTTTACCGGAAAGTACTTCCTTTGATGGAGGAGTGTATCCTGGTGTAGAGTCTCCAAAAACTCAATAAAAACGGATTTCAATTAGGGCAGTGACATATATTAGCTAATATTATTTTAATAGTAACGTTTACTCCCCCACCCCCAGGTAAGATTTTATGACCAATCACAACCATTTCACATGGTTTATATTATGTGTAACCTAAGATTTTCTTTTACTCCCCCCCTAAAATATTAGCTAATATATGTCATTGCCCTTACATACCATGCAAATACCACATACTACAAATGCCCTTACACAAGTCCGACCAATTTCATGAATTCTTTCCTCAGTAAGTATAGTACTTTCATAAAAATCAGATATTTTTGCCCTATAAAAAAAGTAGATACGTTTTTTATACTGAAAGATACGTTTTGTATACTGAGGGATACGTCTAGATACGTTTTGAGATACGGAAAAATGCATAATTCCGTGTCTCACATGATACGTTTTTTCATCGTCTTCGTATACAAAACGTGTCTTGCAAGATATGGAATTGTGCATTTTCCCGTATCTTAGACGTATCTAGACGTATACAAAACGTATCTTTCAGTATAAAAAACGTATTTACTTTTTTTATAGGGTTGTTTGATTAGCAGTCCAGCACTATTATTAAGTTTTCGTTTCTTAGTTGTTACTTGTTCAAGGTTAGTCATATTTCCATCGGCTTTTCGGCAAGACGATTTAAAAAAAATTATCTTGTATTAGCCGGAACTTCTGGACATTCGTTAGCTTCCAAATCTTGTGGTGAGCCTTTTTTCCAAAAGTAATTACAGTACGTACAAGTTGCTTCATAATGACCTTCTGATACTTTTACACCTTGTATAGCATGACCTCCCCATACCACGGACTTAGGACGCCCACCAGCGTTTTTTCTTTTTTTTTTGGTGTAGTTATAGGACTTGCATTTGGATAAGGGTTAGAAAAGTTAAAATCTTGTCAGACATAATTAAAAAAAGTAAAACTGAGTTGACTTTTATTGTTTTAAATGAAAAAGGAATAAGCAAAATAGTGAGAAAGGTTTATTTACATACAGACGCGTGACAATTTTAGTTTTGCCAAATTTCGGAAGTTTCGCCCAGTTTCGGAAATTTCGCCAGGTTTAGGCAGTTTCGAAATGGTCGAAACCGAAACTTAAAATTAGCGAAATGTTTCGCCAATCACAAAACAGTTTCGCCCGAAACATTAACTATTTATAAATAAAAGTTAAATTCACTTCTGGTAAATTAATTTTAAATTAATGTAAACTTAATTCTTATAAGATATATCAGCAGGTAATATTATATTTTTCGTTCAATTTCGACGAAAATAATGATGCTAAATTGTATTATAAACATAAAAAAAATTAAAAAAAATTATGAAAATTTTAGTTTTTTTAATTATTTTTCCATTAAAGCTGGTAGTCACGTGATTTTTAACATTATATGTTTAGACAATTTTTACAAATGAACGAATGAAATTTAAACAATATCAACCTGCACGTTCTCGACAGTTGAATCCTTCGCGTCATTCGTCTTCTCAAAAAGGTTATATTTGTCCTCAAACAGTAAATATAATAATCGCGCGGATCTTATTTTTATTATCCTCGCTTCTAATTTTTTACATAGCGGTTCGATGTTTCAGCAGATTTATGATGGTTTATCTGCAGAGGTTTCTACTTTTTCTTTTCCTCAACGTTCTGTTACTTTTATGGTTTAGTTTACCTACGTACTAGTTTAGTTTTTATATAATATATAGTTCTTCGCTGTCTTGATTCGGTCGGGTTTCTAGATAGATATATATTTAATACTAGTTAGGACCTGAATTTTTAGGTGGTATTTCTACATTGTGTTTTTTTTATAATTTATTAGCCTATAAAGTTCCAATGTAATTTAAAAAATAAATAAATAGAAGAATGAATTTGCCGATCATATCCAAAAATGGTTAGATTCATTTTAACGAAAAGAATAAAGTCAAATAACTCAAAAACGGTATTCAAAACCTCGTTTTGTGCTCTAAGTAAACTTGCAGAGCAAGATAAAATGTACTTACTATAAGTTAATTTAAAAGTTATACTTTGCGCGTTGAAAAGTTATATTACGAAAAAATGAGTTTTTCCTCTAGGATCACGTGAGTTTCCCCGCTTTAGACGTCCCTATAATTGGGAATCCTTTTTGACGTGCTGCTGTATGACGTCAATAATCAAATCAAATTCTTTGTACCTAAAAGCTAAAATATTATCAGTCAAATTGTGCAACCTAATTTTAAGGCTAAAGTTTGGATTTATTCATGTACATGTAAAAAACGATTTCTATCTCTGAGACAAATCAATATAAAAAAAAAAATGTTACCAATAATCAAAATTAAATAAATATTTTCGCCCAAATTTTTTTTTTGAAAAACTTATGTAAACGCCATTTTTATTAAATTTATAACTTAATACTTTTAAAAGATAAATTGAGCATAAAATTAATATTTTATTGTTTTTTAAAAAAATAATAGTATCTTTTATTACAAAATATAAATTTAGATAGGAAAATGTTGGTCCTACGTTCAAAAACAATAAACGACGCCATTATTTTTGCCGGGGACTGTAGTAAAATTTATCGACAAATTTCGTCAATAGACTTAAATTTTTTAAATTAATTAAAAATAACTAAAAATTGGTAAAATGTACATCCACAAGGATTTCAAGCACATACAGAATTACATGTGATGAAGTTAAAACTGGATTTTTAAATTGAGACAACTAATTTGAGTCATCCGGGCCACGGGTCATTAAGATTATAAATCCCGACTTGATTTAAAATTCGGAAACGGATTAATTAACCCTGCCTATACGAAGCCCCGAAAAAGCTATAAATAGATTTGTAATCTTTCAATATGACAAAACTTACCCAATACTCAAATCATACTTCTGAAATCAAAAATCGCAGTTTATATAATATAAATAAACATGGCAGAGTTGATATTATCGAATATTTCGATTATATAATTCAGATAACTATTTGGTTAGAGTAGCAAGTGTACTCTGCTTGACTAGTTCCTAGTTTGTGGTGTGGTTTGGATGCTTAATATTCCCAAACATGCTTCGGACTAGAAAGATTATGATTTGAATGGTTTAGAAATAAAATGAGTAAAATGGAAATTATCTTTAAATGTTATTGGCAATGGTTCTTTCGAAAATTGATATTCGGGTTTTTTTTTTAATTTTATTTTTTGGGGGAAACATTTATAACGTTTATATAAGTTTTTCATAATAGTGATTAATACCAGCTTATCAATTAAATAAAAAATTTATTTATTAAACGAATAAATAAAAAAAAAATTTTTTTTTCTTTATGTATAGCAGCTCACTTTTTCGATAGTAATGAACAGAAAAATTTTTTTTTTTTATATTAACCAGATAATATTTATATTGAAAGGCTCAATATGTATGAATATATTTGGTAATAGATAGATAATATTTATATTTAACAGATAACACAACTCAAATAAATATGAATATATTTGGTAATAATAGTGTGGGGGTGGTGAAAAGATCAACCTGTCCGGGAAAATTCCATTTTTATAATTTTTATATAAATGAATAAATCGGAATTCTTGCTGTATTATGGAATAAAACGGATTTTTAACAATTTTATTCTGACCGTGACAACTAGCCAATCGTCATTGCATATTTTATTGACTATATCATGATAGAATTTGTAAAGCAATCGGTTTTGGCTAAAATTATTGTCGTGTCACTAGCGCAACCTAGGTTGGCCTGCATTAAGATATAAGCCGGCTAGAATTATCAAATGTTTCCTACTATAATTGGTAATTTTTTATCGGAATAAAATCGGAATTTTTTCCGTTATCGTGCCGGGACTCTGACCTGTCTTATCTATTTTTTATACGATAAACAAATTAATGCAATGTGACAAACAATAGTGACAAATTGGATTTCAAATTAATATTCCTAGTAAAAAATGAAACTGGAGGGGGGTGACACAAGTGAAAACAAATTAAGCAACTTTAACAAAGTCAAATACATATGTCACATGATCTTGTTGGTCTGTGAATTTATTCCCGGCTTGCACTATGATTTTGGCCCGCATCAGTATTGCGCCAAGATCGACTTACCCAAAATAAGTAACTTGAAAGCGATAACGCAGGAGTATTACACGATTCTAAAATGAGATAGTCTTGGCGTATCTGAATGATCCAAAATTAATAGAGTTAATGCAGGAGATGTTTCATAAGAGTGCACAATTCTAAATCAAGTTTATCTTTTCCGATTAATATTATGCAAAAAGTAGTACATGAAAAAGATGATGCAGGAGATGATGCAGGAGAGGTTACAATTCTAAAATAAGATAATCTTTACTGATTTAAAATTATACAAAATAAGCAGTATGTAAAAGAGAGAAATTTCTTGATGAGATGTGGCAAAGAGTACAATGTTCTGAGTAAGATTTCCCTGAGTCAAATTATTTGAGAATCGGAGGACGCAACATTTGTGATGTAAGTGGCGCAGAGTATTTTAACTGCGGTCCTTGACGAATAACGTCGTTTTATCTTATGTGTTCGTAAATATTTTAATAACAAGATTAAATTCTCTTTTGATTAAAACTTAAGAATGCGATTCACGTTGTCATTCCCAGTTTACAACGTTATATTTAAGGTATTAAGGTATTACAACTTCGAGTTAATTCAAAATTTTATAATTGTCGTTATTTAATCTTATTTCTCTAGACGTTTTAGACATTATTTGAATATTTCATAAGGCAATAAAACAAAACCAAATAATTTTAAAATGATGTTAATTTAGCTTAATTGCTAAAATTTATTTCAAGAAATAATGTACATACAGTACATACAAATAAATAAAGTGATCTTTATAAGTTAATACCGTAATAAGTCACCAATTTAAATCTAAATAAAAAATAAAATGAACCGTAAACTCTAATATTCATGCCCCAATATGTTTCCACTAGAAATTGATCATATTAAATATAAAAAAGAAGATACTGCTTCAAATTTAATTCAAGATTTAATTTTTGATGCGCAGTTAATGATATATAATCCTGGTCTAAATCATTTACATCAAAACCTATTCCATAAATTTCCTTATTCAATATATTTATAATCAAAGTGTACGATAATAATTTACATGTAACATGATATCTTCCGTTCGAGCTCTCGCAAAAAAATTCGTAATCGTAATCATCATCACAAAGTTGTTGTAAAATTTCTTTACAGGTTACATGGTAAAAGTTGTTATCATTTGGTGGTTGATAAAATAATCCAAATTCGGCTTGCGATGTTGATTGATGGTTCTGTATGGGCTGAATTACAGCCGCTTGGTTTTCTGAGGCATTCATGTTCATATTTCTTTGGGGAATTGTAACGAAAGTTTCTGTAACGCGTGTGTTACTGCTGTAGTGCAGATGATTTGAGCGTTAAAAATTTGATATTCATTACATTTTCATTTCTCAGATAAATTTTATACGAACCTTTTTATAATTTGATATTGTAGAAAAAGAAAGTTCTCTTTCAAGCTCAGTTCGAGGTTTATTTTTTGATTAGAAGTTAATAAGGATTTGCGTTTCAGGTCACTCATATCAAAATCTCTTCCATAAATTTCCTTATTTAATATATTTACAATAAAGGAATATGATATTAGCTTACATGTAACATGATAATCTTGGTGAAAAAACTCATAATCATAAGTATCATCCATAGTTTTTTCCGTTTCCGGACCTTGAGAAATTATTTGGCAAGTTATATGATAAAAATTATCATCATCCGGAAGTTTATAAAATAATCTAAACTTGTTCAAATTTTGATTCATCGCAGTCAAAGTAGTAATAGTATTCATGCTTCGCTTAGTAGTTGTAAATTTTCTAATTAAGTGTAACTCGTATCTTTCCAAGATAAAATTTTCTATTGTTGGGGTAACGAAATATATGAGGCCACCAAAGATGACTTAATTAAACGTATTTGGTAGTAGAAGAATTTTATACGCTGCTCGCTCTATTTTAAAGGTTATTATTATTATTATTATTATTTTTTTTTTTTTTTTTTTTTTTTTTTTTTAGGACGCATTTTGGAGGACTTTCCGCGATTTTTATAATGATCAGAGTGCTACAAAAAAAATTTTTTTTTTTTATATATTGTATATTTTGTACACCGAATTCTTTTATATTTGGAACAAGAACTTTTTAGTTTTAAAATAATAAACAAAATGAGTTACTTAAGTCTTTTAATCTGAGAGAGTAAGAGAATATGTTTCTATACTATAAGTATTATTACTACTAAAATCATGTGATGATCGGCTTGATTTAATAAATAAAAAATTCTTTTTATTTTAAAAGTTTGCATAGGTAACACTTTTATAAATTTAAAGACAGTAATGTTTAATTCTAAAAACTATATGCGCCAGAATTAACTAAAAGTTTCATGCGGATCTTCTAGGGGTTTGATATATAGTAATTTTCAGTTAAAAGAAATTTTTTTAATGAGAAATTTAAACGATTAATAACAAATTATAAGATTCATTCCCGATTATTAGCGTCAGCATATTATAAAGTATTATAAACATATTAGGAGTAGTGGTCATAATAAGTAATTATATATTACTTATAAATATTATATACTAGAAAATTCCGTCGCGTTTATTCCATTTTGTTATTAAAAAAAATTGATTACGAAAAATATCGGAAAAAAATATGCAACACCAAATGATTGCCGGTTGCCGGCATCTAGAGCTGCATTTATAATATAAAATAAGCAGTGTTACAAAACCATCAGTGTTACAAAAAAAAGAGTTATATAATCACAAAGAAAAATCAAGGGCTAATACGTAAGGTGACGTCAGTGGATGGATGGAAGGAAGGAAATTGCATTGGTTAACACAAAATCGTCTAATGCAGTACAGTAAATGTCCTTCCGGACAATTACTTATATTACTTATAAATATGGCATAGATAGTGTTACAGTGTGACCACATGCAATCACGGGATTTACACAATACATTATATGATAAATTTATAGTAAACGCGTAATCTCAAAAAAATTATATATATAAATACCATTTTCTTCATCCTTGGTTACTATTTCACTCTGAATGTATCGATAGAAACATTATAATTAGAGTTGGGTGCCGAAATATCTCGAATATAGCAAAATGTCAAAACTCTTGCCCACCACCTCCCTATGCAAGCGAAGATAATTTCCAAGACAAATTTCTAGCAACTTATCAAAGTGTAACCAAGTTTATACGACGTAAAGATCAAGATCTTGCAATGGTTAACGCTTTCTATCTTGGACAACTATTAGACTAACTGCAAACTCCAACGGAACGACTTTCATATAAACAAAAATTGACGCCTATGGCAGAAAAGACCTACGACATCTTTGAATTCTTTCCACCGAAATCAATCAAATCTTAAAGTTGAATTTCGGCATCAATTTTGGATTTTCAGCAACAGTTTGAGATTTTGGAAAGTTTGGGATTTGAAGGTTGACGTCTCAACTGTTTTTAAATAGTTGCGAAATTACAGCTATATAAAAAACTTAGAGTTGTGTTTGCGAGTTGCGAGTTACGACCCTATAAATAATTTTTCATTAAAATGATCACGTGTCTGAGTTTCTTCGAAATAAAAACTAGAAAAATGATCATTTATCGAAGTTTTTCCAGAATTTTTTTTATAGGGCGATTATTAGTAAGATCTAGTTGCGGCTACATCTCTACCAAGAACTGAAATACTTTTGCTAATTGGGATTTCAGCACTCAGCAATGGTCTGTAATTTTAGTAATGGTTTGGGATTTTGCAACCATTTTGGACTTTGGTAATAGTTTAGATTTCGAAATTTGATTCCAAACCATTGTCGAAACTCAAACCATTTCTGAAATCAGGAATTTAGTTTGGATTTCCGCAAGAGTTTCGGCATTTTGCTATAGCCGAAATATATCGGCACCTAACTCTAAATTTATATACGTGCGTACTACGACAATAATTTAACTTACTTCAAGTAACATTATTAATCCATGGATTCTTTAAACAAATCTGCTGCAAATACTATTCTTTTGATGCTAATAAATATGTCAAGTATTGAATGAATCAAAAATTCAATTTTAAACAGAAATAATACTTTACAGGAATTCAAATGTCATAGTCTTTAGTATATTGCAAGATCGTTTTCAATATCATTAATAACTAATTAATAGAGTTAAATTGGAATTTCATGATCAATGATCTTTAAGAAAAATCATCGCGCGTTGATCATCGCCGCACTAGTATTAGCAGATATTAACGGGCGGAGTTTCATGACATTTTTAATTCTGCCCAAAATTCTATCTACCTTAATTCTGGTAAGGTGACAATCACCAGCGGTGATATTTAGCAATACTCTTATTTTAAAATATGGGTGTTTTTTGTAATTTTATGGAAATAATTTCCATTTGATCTAAACAAAAGTCCCAATTAGGACGAAAAAAATTTTACTAGAAAATGGAAACTATTGTAAGTCTGAAGCAAAAATTTTTTGTACCAATTTTATTTATCGAATTTTACTAATAGTTTGGGCTAGATAATATTAATTGCATAACTAAATGTATGCGCAGTGATAACAGAGAATAAATAAAAGTGTATAGTTTCTATGAAAATTAATTTTTTTTTTCGTTTTATAACGCTTAAATTTTTCACAATTTATTTTGTAACACTTGTAACACTTGTCATTTGGTTTATATTGTTAAAAAAACGACAAAATTTGAGACGAACGTGTTATCGTAAACCGATTGTACGATAAGACTTAATATACATTAGTTTTTTTTTAGTTCTTAGTTTTTTTTCACTCCTTTTGCTCACTTTGCTGTAAAATTCGTCTTAAGAGGTTATAATTTATTTGATATTGTATTTTTTATTTATGTTATTCATTATTTTATGGTTACTACTACTATACTTAAATATTTTTTGCTGATAGGACAGGAGACATATCTTACTAATAAAAATCGTTTTTAATCAGATTAGCGCCTTAGCTTATAGAAATTTACACAGATTTATAGATTGTAAAAGATATGTATACAGTAAAATATAAAATTTTTATAGTATTATACTGTATGACTCAAAAATTCTGAAGAAAATATGCTCATTTATTATAAATTTTTTTTATATACTGTACACAAAAAAATCAATAAATGAAAAATCACGAAAATTATTCTAGTGTTTCTTTGCTCTTTTTCTTAAAACACTGCAAAATTTTTTACAAGAATTTTTAAGATAATAAATATCTTTATCTATTTTTTTTTTTTTTTTTTTGGAAAAAATTATGAAAAAATTCTGTGTTACACAATAGGCTAGTTCACAATATTTGATTGGGATGTCTACAATCAGGCCAATCACAAACATATTATTATTGTGCGCTTTTCAAAGTTTATTGTAAAAATAAAAATGATAAAAATCCTAATAAAATTCTGAACTTGAATAATTTTTTTATTTAGATGCAATATATGAAAGGACAATTCATAATTTTTTATAATTATTTCAATTATGAATATAATTACTGCGTTAGCCTTTATCACATGAAGCACATGAATAGGAAATCAGAGAACTGTCACAAAATTGACGTACAAAGACCGCAGTATGCATATGACGCAATTAAGTGATAAATTATTATATGCAATATATTAACTATATTAAACATATTTACATTTGGAACATTGATCGCCAGGCCGAATTTGGTCACGTGCTCGGTCGTCTGCTACAGTAGTGTACTGTTACGCGTGTTTGATATTCGAATTCGACTCGAGTATTAATTTAACCCACGCAACAACATGACAAAGAAAATCAAAGAAAACAAATTTATCTAAATCCCAATCCCGTTCAATTTAGAGGAAGGAGCAATATCGTATAACAAGAATCGCAGCTTATTGTCCGGAGCGTTAGCGAAGGACATTTTACTATGGAATGCCAGGCTGGACAGAAGTTTAAAGGTGAAGTACATATTGTTTGACATTTAAACACCATATTGTTTGAATTTGAAGTACAAAGCATTTGGCGTTAAATATAAATCATTTGGCATTAAATGCAAAGTATTCATTAATTGCAAATCTTGAATTTTAAAAAATAATTTTCCTGAAAAGGAAATATACCTCCTTTTGAGACTTCCAAAAGAGAGAATTTCTTTTATAGAATTACTTAAATTTACACCATTTGAATTTTAACTAAATATGGAAAATTATTTCCACTTCGTCAAACTGTTTGACAAAAGGTTTGACTGTAAAGTTAAATTGTTTGACAGTATTACAAAGGGTTTGACCGTGAAGTCAAATTGTTTGACAGTAACAGCAAATATTTGAATTTCACAGTTAACCTTAAATGTCAAACAAAACTTAACTCTCAAGTCTCAACGTTAAATTTCTGTCCAGTCCGGCATTCGATATTTTACTGTACTGCGTTAAACGTAATCCATGCAGTTTTTCTTTTCTTCCATCCACTTGCTTTTTCTTTTTTTGATTATATCGATATACCTCCTTTTTTTTGTAACACCGATGATTTTGTAACACTGCTTATTTTATTTGGTGTTACATATTTTTATATTATACTATAATTTTTTTCAAATTAATGCGATGGACTCTAACGGTTGTCGTTTTCCAATAAATAAACATGGCAGGTGTTAATTTAATAATTTACAGTACGTACACACTTTTTGGATAAATTCTCTTAGAGATAATTTTAAATGATTTAGTTTCGTTAATTTATAACTATTCACACTCGCAATAAATCTCGACAGGTTTTTTAATGTATCTAAACAAATAAAATATTTAATTTTTTAACGTAAAATTTAAAAATAAAAAATGAAATTTAAAAAATATCGGAAATAAATAATATAAAATATACCAACCGACTTTCAACAACGGATTATAATGTATTTCCCTACAATGCATCCGCAATTATTACAAAAATTATAAAAGGTTGAAACATTGTGTTTATAATTATTCTATTATAACTTTCATTTCTAATTTCTACTGGTGTGAAATCCTTTTAATTATTTTTGCCAATGAATATATTCAATATTATTAAAAGGTTTAAAGCTTACTTAAAAATATATTAATATTAATTTCACCAAATCTCTTTTTTTTTCTAAAAAAAAAAAAAAAAAGTTTTTTAGTTGGATTGTCAACGTGGAAACAATCGGTATAAATTTGGCCTGAACCTTGATTTTTACAGTAGCATTTTTAATTGCACATAATTATGTTAATTGTTAAAAAACATATTTTATAATCTTAATAGTTACTACAATACGAGCCACCAGAATTCAAAGGAAATTGAGGAAATTGAAGTTATCATAATAATGTATAATACATAAATATAAATAAATACGGATAATCTTTTCAATATTATTTTTTTTTATTATCTTAGAATTTTTATTATAGAGTATATGGATATTTTGATATAAATTTATAAATTTAAAATTGACAAATTCGTCCGATCGACGAATAAAATATGCGTTGATAACACTAACCATTAATGGATAATGAATATAAACACAAAAGCAATTAAAATGTCGAGCTTAATAAACAGATAAAAAATAAACAATTATGTTAATTATAATACAATACTTATAATATTACTTAATTTAGCTTACAATCAACCATATTTGAAATTTTCATATAAAGTTTGGGATAATTTGAATAATTACTTGTTTCAAAAATTCAAATTATTCTAAACTTAAATCTTACATTTTGGTTTTTTTAAATTAAAAAAAATTGGTGATGTGGAAAATTATTATGTTGTTGCTGCGGCGAATAAATACAATTTCCAACTTCACTTCTTGGCAATTCATTATTCTCATAACTATAAGTTGATCTCATTTCTTGTGAAATATTGTTTTGATCAACTTCTTGTTGATGTTGTTGATGTTGTTGATGTTGTGGATGCTGTGGATGACTTGTTTGAGCAATATTATTATTATTAGGTGACAAAATAAAGTCACAATTCTGATTGGTAGTATCTTTCGACCCATTATTCTCATGAAATAAATTTGTATGTCGTTGTGTGTAACCACCATTAACAGGGGCATGATCATCGCTTGGGAGAAGATAATACGGATCAACTTGTTGTTGATGAGTGTAATCTCCAATTGCATCTTGAGGAACATAATTATTATAACCAACGTTGTTATAATTCATATGACTATCTTGAAATAATGATATTCTCTCAGGAGTATGTTGTGGCGCTTGTTGCTGTAGATGATGATCATTTGGAATATTATTATCGAGTTGTTGATTATTATAGGTACCATTTTGTTGATGATGTAAACCATTATCAAAATGAGTTAGATTATCTATTACTAAAGTTGCTGAATTATGATCACGAAAGGAGTTGATACTTCTACTATAATCTGTTCTCGTATCTTTTTCAGGAACATGAAATTTCATAAAATGTGAAGGAAGTATTATTTTTTTCAATTCTTGTTCAAGATGTAATCTTTGGTTTAAATTTAATGATTCACATTTCAAAATACTCTCATCAATTTCAATACCATTTAATAGATTTAGAACTGAAGCATGTGAAATCAATTTGTACATAACATAAAAATTTTCATTTAAATGTTCATAAAAAAATCCACGATCGTCATAATCATAATGATCATTCAAATTGGAATCTTGCGGAATTTTTTTACATTTTATCAGATAAAAATTGTCATCATGTGAAGTATGATGATAAAATTTATATTCATTATTAACTTGTAAAGATAATTTGTTTGACATAGTCCTGAAATAGGCGTAACGTTTGAGTATTAATGAAAATTCTATTAAAAAAAATGTGATTATATATACACAGTATTTCTATATACAAATGTTTTTTAATTCTCTTTGAAAATATTTAAAAAACAATAAAGTTTTTAAGATAATAAAATTTGAAAATACAAAAATATATACTGTATATGTATGTATATACATATATATTGCAGTAAAATTATTTAACAATTTTTTTTTTAAAAAAAAAAAAAAAAAAAAAAAAAAAGTNAAATTGAGTATGGCGTTTAAAAAAAAAAAAAAGAATTGAATTTAATTTGAAAATGTGAAATTCATAAAATGTGAATATTGAACAAACAATGTTAATCATTTTTATAGCGTTTTTAGCGTTTTGGTTAAGAAAATTTGTGTTCCCCATTTTTCTCCGAAATGGCGTGATGTTTATTATTATTTACATTGTGTTAATGGTGTTTTGTAACACGTCAACAAAACAAGTATGGAAATGTTTAAAAGAGAATGATGAATGATAAGTTTTTCATAGAAGAACATAATTTTTTTTTAATTTTTAGTTGGACAAAATACTTGTCGAAAACTGCAACTTTATTTCATATACAGTTAATACGTAGACGTTTAATTGATTGAATTAAGATCGCATTATTTCATTAACATTAAAAATTTCCGGGCGTAGTAATAGTTCTCATCATTTTCAATTGCTTTTTTAAGCCATTTTAGCTTCGATTATAGTAAAGTCTACCATTTTTTTTTTAAGCCTGCTGCTTCTTTTCCTGAAAAAATTCTTTCATTCAAATTATTATTGGAAATTATTATTCGTATTTTACTTGATGATCATTTACGCCCTCATTCTTTCAATTCGTGTCAGCTGTAATAAATATTTACATTTGTTGTACTATTTATTTACTTCATTATTTTACTTACAAACTTTGCTTGTCTACTGCGAATCAATTACGAATATTATTCAACGCAGCTTAAATATATATATATATATTTTTTTTTTCGCTGACAAATGGATATTTTTAGCAAAAGCGTCTCGTTACACACTTGTGATCATGAGACAATGAGACATAACAATCAAATGAGACTTTCAAATATAGTAAATTTGAATAGGTTATACATTAACTTATTGGTTGTTTAAAAAAAATATATTATCTGTTATTGTTATAAATTATTGTTTTTTTATAATAAATAAATTCTGCCAAAATCGGATAATAATCAAAAATCCGGTTGGATAGGCAACTTTATATAAAAGTTAAAAAAAATATTAATAATTGTTTCTCGTTAAAGTTTTATTTAAGTAAATAATCCAATAAATCAATTTTTTTTTGTATTTATACTTTGAATAATTTACTTTTGTGACTTTAGAAAATCTTTTCTCCCCGTAAAATTACGTGTATTTTTGCTGTTACTATATGTCTGTCTATACGTTGAAAGGATCTTGAAAAAGTGGTTTTTAAGGAATTGTATAATGGTTTATTTATTTTTTATGAAACGTTACGAATAAACTATATTCTATTGTTTAAAAAATTAGCCAATGCGCTACTTTGATATAGTTAGAATAAAATATTTCTGGTACACAAAATGATCATTGGATTATTTATTAACGGATTTTTTTAAAAAAATATTACGCCCTCAAACATTAGTGCTGGCCAAATCACTTGAGACATTAAAAATTGGTTAGTCGTATGACATCATCATCTAACTAAAGCAAGGCACAACTTAAAACATTTACCGAAATTTAATATCGTTCAACGAATACTTAATTATACAATTATAATATTTATCGCACTTTTTTTTAATAGTAATTTAGCATTTGTCTTTTAAATTTATTAAAAAAAAATGAACAAATTACTTTACTCAGTAAAATTTTTTAAATTATGGGACGTGAGTAACATTAATCTCCACTCCGGGTGAGAAATAAATCTACTCTTTTTTTAGGAAATATACAGTATTAATTTTTTTAAAAATTTTAAACAACGGAATTAAAGTAGGGAGATTATGATACGGAATTACTGATTTTTTAACGATTATATATATAGACATTTTTTACTATTTAACAAAAAAAAAAAAGAATTTAATTCTATAAGAGAATTAAAGTAATTGATGAGATTTTGATTATATACTATAAATAGGATTTCAATTTCTTTGATTTTATACAGTATGTTACAGTAATCTTCAATACTGTTAATTTCTTGACATTATTGTGATTCAATTTTCATAATTTTTGATTAAAGGTTTATGTAAATTTCTTTGCATTCATAAGATATTGTTTCTAATCGAATGAAATCCATCCACAATTATAATCGGATAAAATGAGCGTTTCATAACCATCTTTGATAATATTCTGAATAAGAGGATCATCGTTCAAATCTAACTAAGTTAACATTCCTGTACAGAAGACAACCAAATTAATATTATATGTTAAGAACAAGTATTCCGTTATCCTAACATTTGTATTAAGTCGGCAACTAGTGTATTTGAACATTATTTTTCAAAGTGGTTTTTGATTAAAATAACTTAAAGTTTGATATATGGCAAGTGGGATATAATCTTATTGTGTGAAAATAATGAAATAGCATATAAATGTCTACATAATAACCAATTCGGACTTACTAATTGTTTAGGAGAAAGGTAAAGGAGAAGTGATGGAGAGAATGACGATGGTTGGTGATAAAAGAGGAAGAGATAAAGGAGATGGAAGTGGTATAAACTCAACAAATGATAAAACAAACGATCATTAATATTGTTCGATGAGTACAAGTATAGACGAAATTCTTAAATTATCCAAGAGCATATTTTAATATGTAAGAACTATTATTAATTGAAATAGTAAGTAGGACTCGAAGAAATTAATCTTGAACCGTTCCTACTATAATTTCATCCGTTTCTTTTGAGACGCGCAGATAAAGTTCTACCATTAAGCTTTGTTCGAGTATGTATTTTTGTGACGGAGTCAATGGTGGCTCGTTATATAGTGTATTCACATCATACTCATAATTCAATAAGTCTAAAACTGCGGAATGAGATATAAATTTACATCTTACATAATAATTTGTTGTCAAGTATTGATAAAAGAATTCATGATCGTACTCAAGATTGTCATCCGGATCGTTATGATCATATGACAAATCATCTCGAACAATTTTGAAAGTTACTAGAAAAATTTTTTCAAAAATTTTTTCATTTGTTGAGCTATGATAAAATCTTCCTTTAATAAGTGGCCGACGTTGCACAATTGTCGCAACTGTTGTTTGGTTAATAGAGGTAGACATTGTGTTTTGGTGCTTTTTAAGCACCTAGTAAGTAAAAGGGAAACCGAATTTTGAAGAACTAAGTCGTGAATTTGTGGGTTTATATAGTATCATAATATCATAATGATCGTCCCTTCGTATTACCGTATTAACGACGTGCATATCTCAACGAACTTAATTGAACTTTATTATATGCAAAACTATAAATTAAACACATGCATTTAATTATATAATTGTGACCTGCATAAATTTTTGTTTGTCACAATTTATTTATTATAACCAAATGTATACTAACTACACTTCGCACTGTATGCTATCAGAAGTATATACAAACGAAATTTTTTTTCATGTTTCTTAATATCGTATTATTCGTATAACTGTTAATAATAAGCTTAGCTACTTGATTATTAAACCGAATATAATATATATATGAACTCTTAAAGCTTATTAAAGCTTTAAAAGAAATTTAGTTCAGGTGATCAATTTAATGATTTTCACCGCTAATAACAACATTTTTGGATTTTAATAAATTTATGGTAAACGCATTAAATTTATTTTTTTGATTGGTTGCAGTTATTTATTTTTTTTTTTTTTTAAAAAAAAGAAGAAAGCAAAAAAAAAAAAAAAGATTAAACATGAATGAAATCGGTTTTACATTTTTAAATTTTGGATGCAGGTTTATTCCCGTTTATCCGCTGATTTCAATATGCCTTTTATGCTTAAAAATGAAGAAAAAATTTTTTTTTTTTTCATTCTTAAACTAATGGAGTAATGTCTATTTGCCGAAATTTTTCCATGTTTATATTCTTCTTGTTTCATTATTAAAAATTAGAAAATGTCTTTTTATTTGTCGTTTAATTGGAGTCATAGTGTAAATGCTTTCTAAAATATGACTTAATAATCAATTTTTTAAAAATAGTTATTAAAGTTTTTTTTTTTTTCTTTGTACCATACTGTATTGTAGCTTTAACCATTTTATATAATAAATAAAAAAATTTAGGCAAATCGCAAATCTCATAATCATGAAGATACTTTCTCTAGAAAGAATACAAAGATCAACATGTCAGTCAGATTACACAGGAGTCACAACAATGACGAAAATAGAAATCATAACAAAGAAGAATTTTCAAACCCCTAATCACGAGTAAAAAAAATGGATGAATAAGGAAAATGTGTAACCTATTGTTAAAGGCGTGGTTGTCATTAGATCGAATTAGGAAATTAATGAAAGTAAAAAATTTATTAATGTTTGTGCCACATACTATATCATGAATTCTCTCGTTCCCGGTTTTGGAATAATAAAGAATTTTCTATAATTCTTATCAGGTGTCACCTACTCGGGGAAATGTTTAACAAATTTACGTTAGTATTGCATTATTAATAATAAAATCTATGTATTCTTATATAAGCATCCGTCAAAATTTCCCAACGGTGTTCGGCATTTCCGTAGTTAACAAAATGCCGTATGAACGCCGTAAATGAATAAGACATTTTTTTTTATTAAAATATATATATATATATTTAGTAACGGTTCATTGCGCACGTCATTTTTTCTTTTTTTTTTAGGAGCGGTTGTTCTTGACTTCATGGACATTCCGGTAAGTAAGGAAGATTTTTTTTGATGTTTACTTTTAAGAAACAACGTAAACTTCGTTTCTTTATCTCTCTTTTATATATTTACAGCATGTAAAATTACGACATTACGGCACTTGCCGTAACCTAAAAATAATCTACTAACGTTTATGATAAAGCATTGGTTCATATAAATTAAATATTATACTAATCCTTTTTCCTTTTTATATATATTTTTATACTGTATGTCGTAATAACATCATTTAAACTCGCCATTTTTATTAAATAGTTCAATAATTATAGAAGTTTTGAAAATATTTATCATATTAAATTATAATCACTGGTCGAAGTAGGGGGATGTGCAATACATTTACACTAGAGAAATTTTATATACACGTCACATTTCAAATTGATTTACCAGTAATTTCAATTAATTCCAATTAAAGTGTATATTAAGGAAATTTGTTGTAAACTTGTCCAATTTCCATGAAGTGTATATGTCATTTGAAATTTACAAGTTTCTATTATATAAATGTATTTTAAATTGTGATAAAACCTTCTTTATATATCATTTAAACTTATAATACATTAAACAGAAATTTTTTATGATATAAGAAATGTTAATGAAATTTCGCTCATATTTGCAAATATATAGCTAAAATATTAACAATAAATACAATAAATTATTATAAATTTTATATAAATTTTATGTATATTATAATGAAACTTCACTTCTATTTAAGAATCATAAACTTCGTAGCCACGCTCAATTAAGGCAATGTATTACTAGACCTACACTAAAGATGACTTTAGCAAGGCTTTCTTTGTGAATTAAAAGAAATTTCATACACTTTGCCAGCTGGTGAGAAAGCCTATGATCTCTAACCTCAAACTTCTTTTCTACAAGATCCCTAAACATTTGATTCAGAGACCTAGACCATCTAAAAAAGAGAAAATTGAAATGTTAGTAAAAACATTTCATTGAAATGCATAATTAGAAACAAATCTCACCAAGTTTTCACGTGTTTAAAAAGTCAAAAAACCAACCATCTGAAAAAAGAAAGATGATGAATATTAGTGATCATTCTTTGTTAAAAGAAAAATTAAAGAAAAAAATTGAACTTACGAAATCCATGTTCAAAAATATCTCTGGATACCAAAGAGCAAGTCATCTATAAAAGAAAAAAAAGTTAGTAATCATTTTTTAATGTCAAAGAAAAAAAATATCTTACCGAAATCAGCCTCCAAAGAGCTGAAGACTTATCCAAATAAGAACGAAAATGAAGTTGTTAGGTTAATATTATATTAAAAAAAAAAGTTTAAGAATATAAAAAAAAAGTACACCATAACCTACGTGTCTAAAGATCCTAATGAAGCCGTCTAAAAAACTGAATTCATTAAAAATAATTTAAAAATCACTTTCCCTTTTTTTAAATTAAAAAAAAGAACTTTAAAAAAAGAATTATCAGAAGTCCATGTGTCAAAAAAATCCACGTTAAAATGAGAGAAAAAACTTCATCTTCCATTAACAAAATTCTGCTTCAAAGATCCAAAGTACCATAAGGCTAAAAAATAAAAAAAGAAAAATTTCATTAATAAAATTCTTTTAAAATAGGTTTCTTAAAGTCAATTCTGAATTCAAATAGCTTACCAAAATCTGGAAATACAGAAACTATAAAGATTAAAAAAAGAAGCGTCAGACATTTCTTACAGATAAATGACGAATTCCTCTCAAAAGAAATAACTCACTATCCAAAAGTCTTCCACAGACAAGTCATTACCTACAAAAAAATAAAAAAAAAGGAAATTTAGTATGTTCCTCATAATTAATGGCGAAATTCTTTTCCCAAAAATTTTACTTACTGTCCAAAAAGTCCCTCCAGAGAACATTACCTACCAAAAAAAAAAGAAGGAACATTTAATACATTTTTTATAGAAACTTTTTCCCCAATAATCACCAATCGTCTGAAGATTCTCTGTTACCTTTAAAAAATTAAAAAGAAAATTTTAATACATTTCTAATACTAATAATGAACTATTAAAACAAAACTAACTTGCCATTTATTTTAATTTCCAGTTCTTGTTTTATTGTAAAGTATAATTTTTACTTTTGTTTTCTTCAAGTCCAGCTATCATAGGCTTGGAAAAAATTTTATGAAAAATAATAAGAAAAAAAAAGAAAATTATAGTAAATAACGATAAAACAAAAAAAAAATTCAAAAAATTGATAAAAATAAAAAGAAATCACCTAAGAGAGCACTATTTGCGAAAATGTTCAGTTGAACTTCAACTTTGAGCCATTGGAATTATTTGTTCATTTCCTTTAATTTTTGTCAGTTGTTCATACCAATAGCTCATTGATGTCATTGTTGTGAAAAAAAAATTAATGAAGGAGAAAGAGGGAAAGGAATTATGGGAAAGAACAAACTTTTTTTTTAAAGAAAGATTATCCGTCATTGAACTGCGCCTATCAGTTATTATATCATGTGATACACATGACAAAATAGGACCCGATTCCATTTTGAGGATTGATATAACATATTAAACTATTTTAACTATTTTAACTATTTTTAATCACGAATAAACTATTTTTTAATTTTCTTTACATTTTCTTTTATACTCTTCAAAATAATAAACTGCAATTATGGTTTTTGATGCTTGGAATATGTTCAACTTAACCATCACAAAATGACACAAATAGCAAATACAATAATATAACATTAATTATTATTTCTCACAAACATTCTAGATTTTTTAATATAAATTGACTTGAGATTATTAGAGGTCATAAGCTTTCTCACCAGCTGGCAAAGTGTATGAAATTTCTTTTAATTTCACAAAGAAAGCCTTGCTAAAGTCATCTTTAGCATAGGTCTAGTAATACATTGCCTTAATTGAGCGTGGCTACGAAGTTTATGATTATCTCTTTGCTTTTTTTTTGTAATTTTGTAATAATATAAATTTTGTTTTAGTATAGCAAAATTTCAATAATAGTAAGTAAATGGCTTGTTGCAAATTTAATATCATATTTCAAGTAAATTTCAAGCTATTATATGCGTAATAAACATTGATATTAAATTTAATTAAAATTTATTTAGAATTTATACATTATAATTAGCGAATTAGTTTTAAAATCATAAAATTTACAATAAATTTTACCCGTTTCAATCTATAAATTAAATTTGATGGAGATTTCTTAAGCGTAATTAAGATCAACAAATGTATAAGCTATTTATGGGCAATAAACTTCATGCAAATCATCCCACTTCGACCAGTGAATGTAACAATTACTACCGTAAAGTTCTGTATTTTTCTATGTAAATACTAAATAGTATCCATTCTGGATTCGAAGAAGTTTTAAACTTTTGTATAATGTAAATATGGAATATGAATGATATGTAATTATTGCAGAATTCTGTGTACGTTGCAGGTCAATTATAGCTGGTATC